AATAGTACACTAGTAATGCCGTAGTCACTAGCCAACAACTCAAGTCAATTTTCTCCAAATGTAATTTGTAAAATAGCAATGATTACATTACTATTTTGTATCTCTCTCTTGTCGATGTTAGAAAGAACCCAACTCTTTCTAGACTGCAAAAATTAGTTCTCGGCAAAAATTCTTAGCGACTGATAGAAGACATGATAATGGACACTTGAAAACAAGCAACACAGATATATTCCTGTCGATAATTTTAATAATAGACATTGTTAAATTCAAGAAGTGTAGTCATGTTTTTAGATTTATACTCTTAGTAAGTCGGCGTAAGTATCATTATCTGCCCTCTAAATCTCCAGCTGTTTAGCTTACAGTTTACTTACGGGCTAGTGGCATGTTTTCAGGCATATTTTAGTAATTGGATCCAAAGAAGAATAAAATAGAGTAAGTGGGATGCAAACTTGAATATATCGCAACAGTACCTCTGAAGAGATAAGGCTTATGGGAAGGAAAGTAGGAATCCAAAAGTCAGGAATTGGATGAGCATACCACTTCATCATTGTAGAATATGATAAGATTGACGATTTGATGAAAGTAGCTCTAAAATAGGCTATAGACATGAGACAGAGCCAACAGTTGGGTATTATTAGCTATGCTCTTATGCAGCCATATTGCAAGTGGCCCCATGAAGCATTGTCTTGGCAAAGACTTCCAATTGCGAAGCTCACTATGGTCCTGCGGCCGCCCATATTGATCTTGTCATTATTGTACCCTCAATGTAATTAACCCTGCATGTTTTCCTTCTAAACGATACTACTAGACAATGCAAGGTAGGAGCTTTGTCGGTTTCATTAAGTTAGAAAAGGAAGAAATATAGAGTGGCCCAGTTTATAAGAAAACTAGGCTGAAAACCACAAACCCCGATAAAAAATCAAGAGAAACCCAAAGAACAAAAGCCAAAAACGAAGAAGACACTAGAACTTGGGGATAGTGACCAGAGGAACATGACATCAAGGAACCTCATCTGAGCTTGCACAAGAGTGCCAAGCCAAAGCCAATGAGACGAAGATCATGATCAACCTATCTGACCACCACACATTCGAACAGACTCATCCAAACCGAGATTGGCCACAGCCTATGCATTCAAGCCCCAATGACTAACAATATTTTGTGGGAAACATCCTGCAAGAACCCCCTTCAATTTTCCGATGCCCGCAGAACAAGCAAAGAATTTGAGAATGGGCTAGGAATCTATTTGTCTAGTAACATTATTTTCCAACATAAATAATGGTGTTTTTTTTGTAATTCAGCGTTCTCTAGATTGCAAGATTAAAGAAAATAGTTGATCAAGTGATAGCCTATCACACCTGTTGCCATAGAAAGATTAATTAAAGTGTGGGTGTAAAGGGAACTAGGGTTGCATGATTCGTCGATTGAAGCTCACATGGAAAAGAAGGGAGAGAGAAAGAGAGAGAGAGAGAGGGAGAGAGGTACTTAATTCTTACTCATGCATTTATTGTGGTTCTCTTTGTTCGAGTATGTGTAGCCATTTCCCAATATTAATGCTGATGAACTGTTCAATTATACTCCCTTCGTACGCTGGTCACAATGGGTAGGAACTTAGGAGTAACATCACACACTCCAATACAAGTTTGCTTATGTGGCACATATTTAATGAAGAGAGAGGTTCTTGTGGTAACTAGTTAAGTTACCGGAACATCACACACTCAAAAAAACAATGAGTCTATATCCTAATAAATACATCGCTGCATGACATTATATACATGTTCCTACCCACTATGGAGGTAGTAACATAGTCTAGGAAACTATGTAGGTTACTAGCTTATGTTCCTGCCCATTGTGACCAGCCTTAGGCACATTATAAACACCAAATTTCACAAAACGCTTAGGCACGGTGCATTAATTCACACCTCGTTTCTTGTTTCTTGACATGAATAAAAAAATAAACCAATAAGAGATGTGTGGCGTGCAAGCTTTCAATGACTTGAGACTATCTAGCACGGCATGCAGCTGTCAGTTTATTGCATGCAATACTATTAATTAACAAATAAAAATTAAGTTTCTAGTTTTCTCCTCCACTTTGGTCGCGGTGCACAATCTAAGATGACTAATGTACCATTAAGGTGAGAGTTGTATTTTCCCTTAGATATATCGCCTTAAAAAGTTTACTTTTTGACGTAAAATACCGAAAATCCATCTCTGCACCCGAGCTCATCTGCACCCGTGCTGACAAAAAAAATCAAAACAAATACTAGAAAAAAATCAAAAAATTCCAAATTTATTTTGTATGGTAGACAATTTGATGCGTGATACCCGCTCCAAATATCAAGTCATTTGGACACCTGAGCAGCTCTCAACAAAAAAGACAAATTGGGGTTATGTAAAAATGTTTACTGTTCATGTATTGTTTTGACCCGATTTGTCTTTTTTGCTAAGAGCTGCTCAGATGTCCAAATGACATGAAATTTGGAGTGGGTCTCACGCATCAAATTGTCTACCACACAAAAAAAATTGGAATTTTTTGAATTTGTTTTGAATTTTTTACTTTTTTTTCTAACCAGGTGCAGATGAGCCTGGGCACCGAAACGCCTTACTCCTTTAGTAAGTTTGTGCATGTTACTTTGTAACTTTACTTCTCTATAACAAAAATATTGGTAATTTAGCTAAGAATTTTCACTAAGTTAGAACATCCTTTCTGTTCACGTGGAGCTCGATGTGGGCACGCGTCGACTTTAGCCAAATAAATAAAGACTTTTCTGTTCACGTGGAGCTCGATGTGGGCATGTGGCCGTCAATATGGGTTTTGTCGACATTGTGGCCCCACGGTAATTAACCTTCCTTGACTGCTTCTAAACAGTACGCAGCAGCCATTGGCCAGCATGTCAATTATCTTCCGGTAGTCCGTCAAAATTGTTGACCAGGTGATAGCTGACATGACAATGGAGCATATATTTTCTACTTCTTATTAGTCCCTCTTGTATTTATGAGTCCATTGTTCACTGTTCACCCTAAAGACTATTCCCTGGTGGTGACCATCGTTTGCCGTTTCCCTGCATTAGTCTGCCAATTGTACGCACGACGATTTTTCCTACAATTTTGGTGGACTAGACTGTTAGGCTAGTCATAGTGGAGAGTAACTTAGACTAGTAACATGCATATGTTACTAGTTTTTGGTACTACTTTCATAGTGGGTAGTGTCATATATGTGGTAACATAGATGTTTTTATTTATTATTTTGTGGACTCATTTTGCATTGGGAATCGCTATGTGATGGTAACATATTATGTTACTTTATTTACATCTCTCCTCATTAACTGCTTGCCACCTCATCATTTTTACTTATGTGGCATTTATGTTACTACCTATATTACTCCCACTATGACCAGCCTTGTTGATTTGACATAGCGGGGTCCACATGTTGAATTGCTCGCGCCCGATCCTATAGGTTGTTATATGTGTCGGAGATCTCTCAGCACTAAACACATTTTTCTACATGTTGGGTTTTTTTATTATTTGCGATGATATTGGTTAGTAATATCTTTTGAAAAGAAGGTAAGTGCAAATACTAGCTTCAGTGGTAAGATTACCTCAGACACAAGGCACAAGGCTGGTGTGAAAGGGGAGCAAGAGTGCAAAAAAGCAACCAATTGGAGGGGCATAGTTTCTCTTCGGTTCTAGAATATGACTAAACTGATGATATGACGGAAGTGGCCCAAACTTTTGAAAGTTAAGGTGCCATTCCATTGTATGTGGACTGACTCATATCATATGAGAAGATTTCGATTCTTTGCGCTACTTGTCCATGCAGCCATGCCTACCTGTGGGCTTCATTGTAGTGACACAAACACCTTAGTTTGTTGTTGTGAGGAACACCTAAGTATGGTTTAGACATGCTCGTCTTCAGCTGAAGGCATGTTGCATAATCACATGGTTCTAAAAATAGCTAAGAATTTAAGCTTTTGCTAAATGCTTCATCATGTGCAAATTGGCAAACCTCTGGCGAGTACTTTTGGATTGCTCCAGCTACCATTCCGAAACCTCTGGTGAGTACTTTTTTTTGAAAGAGCGCAGGAGAACTGTGATTCCATTAAGCGGAAGGGCGGCTGGAAGCCAACTGTACGGGGATGACCGCAAGCAACATAGCAGCGATCAAAAGAAGAAGAAAAGAAAAAGGGAGCCGAAATGCTACTCCTCCCAGTTAAGGTGCCGGCCGCCGGCCAGCGCCCATTGCATAGGTTCATCGATCAATAGATCAAGAACCTGCTCCACTTGTAGCTCCGTATCCCTGAAGATGCAGGTGTTCCGTTCCTTCCAGATGCACCAAAAAACCTGATGAGTACTTTTTTGCGGGGGAACATTCTGAAACTTTGACAAGCTACCATAAGTCATTAGTTAGGCCTATGAAAAGTTATTGGTATTTATTTTAGAGCTCAATTGTCTTGCTTTTATTCGCTAAACCATCCCCTTGCCATCTTAGTATTATGCATAGTAACTCACAAAATTGCTAAACTGGCTTCTTTTATATTGCGAACTGTATGATCAAGCGTAGTATCTACTGTCATATATGGTACCACGAAGAACTTGGAAATAATAATAATTACAGTGTTGTTGAGATAAATTGCATTGTACTACACTGACTCAGTCATAGGACGTTGCCATCCATGGAGATGTCTGTCCACATGAAGCCGGTCGGTTGATTCCAATACCATGGCCCACAACAGCGAAGGCTGCCTTTTTCTCACTCAACCCAACAGGACCGCTAAGCCACCAGCTGTCCAGCCAGCAAGTCAAGTCAATGCACGTCCTACTCCTACCTCAAGCAGGGGGCGCCCTATCCCCATGGCTTGCTTCCCCACCACCACCATACAAGTATACCCTACCTCATCCTCGTCCAAGCACGCGCGCCCATTTCTTCCTGCTTCGTCGCTTCAACTGTACCTACTGCACTGCCGCCCGTACCCATAGCTTAGCGCGCCGTGCGCGCGAGCACGATGATGTGCATGCGCGGCCATGTCGTCGCCGTCGCCTTGGCGGTTGCCGGCCTGCTGACGACCCTCGAGCTCGCGGCTGGCATACCGTGGGAGGCATGCGGCAACGCAACTGCTAACTACACGGCCAACAGCAGATACCAGCACAACCTCGGCCTGGTGGCCGCGGCCCTACCCACCAACGTCTCCACGTCCCCTGCCCTCTTCGCCACCGCCGTGAACGGCGACGCGCCGGACAAGGTGTACGCCATCGGGGTATGCCGCGGCGATCAGAACGCCTCCGCCTGCCAAGACTGCATCGCCGCCACCTTCAGGGACGCGCAGAAGCTCTGCCCCTACAACAGGGGCGCCGCCATCTTCTACGACATCTGCCTCGTCGGCTTCTCCGACAGGGACCTGCTCGTCGCGCGCACCAACTCCGACGACCAGGAGGTGCAGCTCTACAACGCCCAGAACGTCACCTCCGACGTCAGCCAGTTCAACGCAACCGTCTACAAGCTCCTCGGCTCCATGGCCGAGTACGTCGAAACCATAAACTCGGCGAGGAAGTTCGCCACCGGGACCATCGGCTTCGACGATACCTACCCCAATATCTACAGCATGGTGTGGTGCACGCCTGACCTGACGCCTGGGCAGTGCCGCGCTTGCCTTGCCGCCACCATTGCCGAGATGCCGCGCGTCTTCATCCCGAATACGCGGGGCGCCAGGATCACCGGCCTGCGATGCAGCGTGCGGTATGAGGTATACCCGTTCTACAACGGCGCCATCATGCTGCAGCTGCCGGGCACCTCGGCTGGTGTGTTAACTCACTCAATCTTGCATTTCCCTTTTCTTTTTTGTACTTGCAATATGTATACTCCACTTGCACAAATAACTGGTTGTCGACCATATATCTTTTTTTTTTGCGGGTGACCATTTATCTTTCTCTTGCTGCACTACGAATAACTTTCACTTCTTAGTAGTAGCTTTTAGTAGAACTCTTCTGTTTGCACATGCAACATTTTCCATGGAATCAATTACTGAAGATGAATATTTTTCGTGTCATAAATTGTTGTCACTATCGGAGAAATGTAGCACTGTATGATTGCTCAGTACAGACAAACCTGTTTGCTGTGAACAATTCCCCTGATTTATTCTCATTATATTTTTAGTGGTTCATTGAGAAATTAGGAAGAATACCTTAAAAAAGTATTAATATTGAGTAATTGTGAACAAAACATGTCAGTGGCTATTTTTGTTGATTGATATACGTGTGTCTAATACTCTAATATAACTTACTCTTGAACTGCTCACTACATGGAATTATCCCAAAAAATTACCAAAATTATGTGCCTATTCAGTTTCTTATGGATGACATGGGAAATTCATGGTAGTTTTCCTAAGTAACCAGTCTTGTTTGTTTTTCTTTCTCCCAACCACAAGCTTGTCAAAAGGGAAGTTTGTCCTGTAAAGGTAATGCGTTAGAAGATAGAACATGCTGAGAAGTGTACATTTGCATGTGCGAAAAAATGGTAACTATAAATATACAATAATTATACATACCTCAATATCCTTAACTTGATTGCAACCACCCTTGACATAAAAATGTTCATGACCCTTATCTACAAGAAGACGCTCTTTTAACATATTATTTCATTTGAGAACAAAAGTTAATATGTTCACAAGCAATGGTTCCAATTTTTATTAGCTTGCTTGTAATTAAGTAACATTTTCAGAGACTCTCAGATATGAGGAGAATTTTGCTTCTATTTGCAGGTAAGAAGAGTAATGAAACCGGTAAAATTCTTGCAATTGTGCTACCTTCAGTGGCAGCTCTACTTGTGAGCATTGTGGCGTGCTTTTGTTGCTGGAGGAGGAGGACAAAAAGTAAAAACTTACTGGCATGTAAGTCCTCCAAAAGACTTAAATCACTGATTGAAATATTGTCATAGGTCATTTGTGGCACTGGATGGACTATATGAGATTGATTAGTACTTTTCACCTGTGTGCACCCAGTTGTGATTAATGACACTGCACCACCACCGTTTACTACAGCGTACCTATAGTTACTTGTCATTGCTTAATTACAGCCACAGTAATTTCAGTTGTTTTATACCTCACGTACATACTCGTAGTTCAGACATGTTGAAATGTTTTCTCTTCTGTGGCAGATGGATCTCATGTGGAGGGCATTGATAGTATTGAATCACTTATTATTGATCTACCAACAATACGAACTGCCACAGATAACTTTCACGAAAATCGTAAGCTTGGTGAAGGAGGATTTGGTGCAGTTTACAAGGTATTGACACTTTTGTGGTACCATCCAGATTCCTATGTCTTGTTTTGTCGATTACTAAATTTAATTACCAACATTTTTTAACTTATTTACCGACATGTTAAACTCCACAGGGCTCCCTTCCTAATGGTCAAGATATAGCAGTGAAACGCCTCTCTCAGAGTTCTCGGCAGGGAATAGGGGAACTAAAAAATGAGCTAGTCTTAATTGCCAATCTTCAGCATAAAAACCTCGTGAGGCTTATTGGCGTCTGCTTGCAGGAGGACGAGAAGCTTCTTGTCTATGAATGCATGCCGAACAGAAGTCTGGACACCTTTCTTTTCGGTACAGTGCAAAATACAATTACTCGACCATATTCCTATATTTGCGGGAAAAAATCATGGTATCCATCCGAAGGTCATAACTCTAATTTTTTTTATCTCACTGGACAAACAGATTCCGAGAAACGCAAAGAGTTACATTGGGGGAAGAGATTCACGATAATAAATGGGATTGCTCGTGGATTGCAATATCTGCATGAAGATTCCCTGTTGAAGATAGTTCACCGGGATCTAAAGGCAAGTAACATCCTCTTGGATGCAGACATGAATCCAAAGATTTCGGACTTTGGCTTGGCAAGGCTTTTTGGAGGGGATCAATCACAAGACACCACAAATCGAGTTGTTGGAACATAGTAAGTACTGTTAATATTCATTGTATGATTTTGCATGAAACATCATCAATTCTTATAAAGTTGTCCATGATATTTCAGTGGATACATGGCACCAGAATATGCTCTACGTGGGCAGTATTCTATAAAGTCGGACATATATAGCTTTGGTGTGTTGATGTTGGAGATCCTCACAGGAAGGAAAAATAGTGACTCCTACAATTCTGACCAATCTGTTGATCTGCCGAGTCTCGTGAGTGCTTAGACAGTTTATAGAATATCTGACCAATCTGTTGATAATCTGTAAACGATACTCCTTACGCTCAATAATTTATCCCATTTAACTTTGACAGTTTTCCAGTGAATATGGTAGTACAAAATATGTTTTCAAAACACCACTAAGAATTGTGCCAATTTTGCACCATTAATATAAGCAATTTTGCTAACATGAGTAGGGAAAGTTATAAACTATAGCGATATCAATCAGATGCAGGAGGATATTAACTAGTACTCTTATGGATGCAGATATGGGAACACTGGACAATGAAATCAGTTATGGAGATGATGGACCCATACATGAGTGGCGATTCCTCGCAGGACGAGATTTTGAGATGTGTTCACATTGGACTATCATGCGTTCAGGAAGACCCTGCTTACAGGCCAACTATATCAACAATCAATATCATGCTGGATAGCAACACGGTCCCATCTCAACCTCCATTGAAGCCGGCATTCTACGTAGAGATGGGTGGCGACATTGTCTCAGACATGTATTCCCGATCATACCCAGGAGGTGTCAATGATTCAACATCCAAGTCGAATGCAATGTCACCGAATGAGATGTCGATAACAGATCCAGAACCAAGATAAGTTTCAAAATAATGAACAAGAACAAGTTTCCTATTGTTGTTGTAGGGAAACAAAAATCTTCATCGTCTATTGAGTTAGACAATGGTATTTCTGTGTATGCATTTGGTATGGTTGAACTTATTTATGTACTTGTACAAGCCGTAAGATGGATCACTCTTCTCGACTGCCCAGAGGGGCATTGTATGGTAACAAACATAGAGTTCATACTGCTGGTCAGCTGTGATAAAAAATAAGATATGTATGTCAGTGAGTTTAGCAGAGTTGCATGTGCACGCACCTTCATCACATTGGATCAGAAAGTTAGAAGTACATATTCCACATGGCATCCTATATCTGGGAGACTGATCAACATCAAACAGCCTGCCACTACGTCGCTCACCCACTCGAACGACTGGGGCGGAACCCAGCCCTAGCCACCAAGGTCGCCGCTGCACATCTATCCCTTCCCTTTGCCGCCGCTTGAGGGGTGGTGCGGGGTATTAGAAAAGGTGGTAGTTTTTGGTCATTTTTTAAAAAGTTGTAGTTCAGTGGAACAACAACTTAAATATGTGGTAGTTTTTTGTCAAATACTCGTTCAAAAGAGAATAAGAGAAATGGAAAATAGCTATTCATGTGTTGTTTCAGATATATGCTTAAAAATACATGTGACTGGCTGTGATGCTATCCGATTCGTTTGTCATACGTGCTGATAGCTTATTCGGATTAATTGGCCATCTTTGGATACACGATCCACATGTAACACAAAAATAGATCTTTTTTTTTTGTGGGGAACACAAAATTAGATCAATGACTACTATCCAACGTGGAAACATAATTTAGATCAATCTAAATTGTTCAATCAAAATACTAGCAAGGACTCTGATCCACATCTCATTCAATCTTGAGCTGAGGAATCAAATGTGAGGACTCTATGTAACAGTCCGGAGGGTCAGGAAGTGCCTGAACCTGAGTCCGATTCCTGGTCTCCAGCATTTGCACCACTTGGTGCATGGTTGGCCGCAGCAGCGGGTTCGGCTCCATGCACCAGAGCGCCGCGCGCAAACTGCTCCATCCTCTGCTTGTCCACCATGGTCTCAACGTCCAGGTCACCATCCAACATCAGCTCCGTCCTCCGTGCTACCACCAGCTGCGCCGCCCAACCGAACAGCATGACTGTCTCGTCGTCATCTCCCGCGCCTGCCGACAACCTGTCATGCACCACCCGCTCCTGGCACCTCCAGCAGCAAATCATCTCTAGTAGCATGACGCCGAAGCTGTATACGCCCGCCTTGGTGTCCACACGCGCATCGCTGCGGAGCCACTCGGGCGTGATGTACCCTCTGGTGCTCCTGACGTTGGTCACCGTGGTGTGCACTTGCTGGCTCCCCAACAGCTTGGAGATACCGAAGTCGGTGATCCTCAGGATGCCACGGTCGTCCAGCAGGATGTTGTCGGGCTTGATGTCGCAGTGGATGATAGGGGTGCTGCAGCCGTCGTGGAGGTACTCGAGCCGGCACCCAGGCGATGGCGAGGGCGGCCTCAACACGCCAGAACCACGGGGGCCGCTTCGCTTGCTCGGCGAAGAGAACGCTGTGTGGAGCGAGCAGAGATTTGGATTTCGTCCGATAAAAAGAAATTTCGTCCGAAATTCGCCCGTTTCGTTTGGGCCCGGTATGAGTACAAACCGGTCAGAAAATTCGGC